AGAGCATTGAAAAATTTTTATTATTTATTATTGTTATTATTATTATTATCATTATTATTATTATTATTATTATTATTAATATAAGCATCAATCTATCATTATTTATTATTATTACCTATGATGGCAAAAGCTAATAGATTTTTGGCATCACTAACCTGTGGCCATTTTGATTCTGGGACATACATTCTTGAACAGGCAGAACACTTCTGTCCTTGATAGCCATAGGCAGCTCGTATTGTACTCTGGACAACAATATCTATTATGAAAAAAAAAGATTAAGTGATTGCATGAATGGTTAGATGGATGAATAAGTGAGTGAGAATATAAGTGGATAGATGAATGGATGGATGAATTGATAGATGGATGGTTGGACGAGTGGGTGGTTGGAGGGAAAAATGGATTGATGGAGGAAGGGAGGGAGGGACTGACAGACAGACAGACAGATGGAATGGCGAATTAGTGAACAAATGGATAGGTGGATGGACTGACAACTGGATAGATGGAAGTACAACTGTTTCCATTGATAAATGAAAATTAAAAGAATGAGTGAAAGAATAAGAAGGAATGAAAACGAATGACTAATAGATGATTGAATGAATGGATGGAAAGAATCTGCTTATTGCAATTCATTGCCCATTCTATTAACTAGTTTATTAATGATTATTAACCAATTATAACAAAAACGACATATACAGTATGCCATTTATCATAGTGTTACAGAAAGTACTCACCAACATTGGCAGAGTTGTGCACAAAATGATAATTCTTTCCTCCACATTCTAAAATGTAAAAACAAAAGCATCAAACCAACAATTCCACATATTCTTCTTTAGTCTCATCTAGCATTTCACTAAAACCCTATTGCCAAAAATGTGCAAGTGCAGATACTGCAAATACTCCAGTTTCGAGTTCTCTGTTGCTCAGGGTTAGCTCAGGGTTAGGTCTCCTGGGAAGCAGAAGTTAGGCCCTGTCCACACGTATCCGAAAATTTTTGTATCCGAAAATTATGTTTTGTGGATACGAAAATGTTTGCGTCCACACGCAGCGTATTCGAATTGTTTTCACCGTCCACACGTATCCGTTTTCGTAAAATTTGCGGATACGGATACAAAAATTTGCGGACACGTGTGGACGCAAACCGTATCCGAAAAAAAAATTTGCAGATACAAAAATTTAAGGATACATGTGGACTGGGCCTTATTGTAGTGGGTTTAAGCCTGTGTAGGTCCCAAGGGAGAGGGTGAGTGTATTTAAGAACAGAGCCATGAGTGAGTTGGGGCAGTTGGGAATCTTGGCTGACAAAGCGGTGGTAGAAAATGTTATAAACTGAGTCCGAAACAGTTTACAGTTACAAGTTTGTGAACCTGCCATGTTCTACAGATCCAAGTAATTAGAGTATAGAAACTGATAACCAAAGTGAGTAAAACCAGATCATAGGTTCATGCAGAACGTAGAACATTCGTGTTCCAGTGAAGGTGGTGGAATTTGTATATTTTGTATTCGTTTTGTATTTCTGAAGGTGTGGATTTTTTACTTTGTCATTGGGGAATATTTAGACACAGATTCGAGGTTAAGCCTGAGTAAATGAGTCTACGATCAAGGAACACAGTGGTAATTTTGAATGCAAAAAGGTCTATTCTATGCACTGTTCAACTTACCTCCGATAAGCCTGGGATAAGTTCTAAAAAATAAAGATCAAAAAACACAATTCAATTAGTGCACTTTTTTTTCTTCTGAAACTTCTAGTAGAAACGAAAATGTCACTTTAGCAGCATTAGTGGGGAATTGGGGGAATCAAAGAGCAATGTAGTGGTAGTACACTCGCCTCTCACCTCTTGGGTCTCAGGTTAAATTCCTGGACTCAACATCACATACATTAGTGAATCAAGGGTGGTGTAGTGGTAGTGCACTCACCTCTCACCTCTGGGGTCTCAGGTTTGATCCCTGTACTCAACAGCACATACATTAGTGAACCAAGGGTGGTGTAGTGGTAGTGCACTCACCCCTCACCTCCAGGGTCTCAGGTTTGATTCCTGGACTTGGTATCACATGTGAGTAGAGTTACTCTGCTGGGTCTATCCTTAATTCAAGTTTTTGTATCTGGATTTTCCAGTTTTCCTCCCTCTGCAAACCTAACAAATGCTAAATTCAAATTCAATCTGTGACTTGAATATCTAAGCCCTGACTTAGATCAGCCCAGAGGTCGTTTCGGGAATCAATCTGCGAGTTAGCCATGCACTGTGACTTTCATCAGCCCAGTGGAGGTTGTTTTAGGGTATCAATAAGATGTGGTTGAATACATAGTGAAGTGTGCTGAATAAAAATCAAAGACCCAAAAGTATTCAAACAACCAGACAGTCTGTGGATATGCTTCTTGAATGAACACCGGGGGGGGTACTCCGCCAGAATTTGGGTAGGGGTGTTCCGCTGGGATTCTGAAAGGGGTACCCTGTTTGTGACAAAAAAACTCAAATTTGTAGACCCTGTTTATGACAAAAGATATAATTTATTGCACTGAGTTCCTGTTTTAATTATCATGTTATCTCGCGTATCGTTTTTTTACGACCATAATAACCAGTTTTGGTCAATACTAAAGTAGAAACCCTGAATATGACAGGAAACTCAGGAA